AATTTTTTTTTCCATAAAGAGATCAAGTCCGGGAAACAAGTCACTTGAAAATTGAGTAATTAAGTCAATATAGACTCATTAATAGTAGACACTTGCTATTCTGATCCCCTTCAAGACAGGTCAGCTAGAACCCAACAAGTCAATCATACGCAGAACAAGATGGAGCTTTGAGTTAGAGCATGCGGTATCAAAGCCTGTCATCCTTGCCAGCTAAAGATCTAATGCGTTGAAACATCTCGTGGGGAATGAACACGTCAGCTTTTGTGGCTCCATTTGCTTCGGTGGCTTCTCGCTCCACGAAAAAAAACACCGCTCCGCCTCCGACGGTTGTTGCGTGCTGAAGGCTCCCAAGCTTGGAGAGCTTTTGGAAGAGAAGGAGGATGAGTGCCTTTGTCCGGAAAGAGATCAAGGGAACCAAAAATAGGAGGCATGATTTCGGGATGATCGGAGGGATGAGGAATGCCACTCACAGACCCCATGCCACTCACATGTCTGTGGTCGTGAAAACGGAACGAAAGGAACTCCTGTTCACGACCGGTTTCGGACCGTAAGATGGACGATGAAGAGTTCACATGGAGGACTAGGAGGTGAATGACCCGCTTTCAGTGGTCGAAACAAAGAAGTCCTTTCTTTCAGGGCCATGCAAGAAACCATGTTCTGATATTAAAGAGTAAGCTTGGGGCTGCAAGAAAAGGTGACTAACCATGATCAGAATATGTCAGAGTTTGTGTTACACTGTTGTGTTTTCAACTTCTCTTTGCCAAACATTACGGCAGCACCAAGTCGAGATCATGGAGGCATGCTACACGATGGATCACTCATGTATGTGATTATCTCAGATCTTCACAGGAGGATTCACTGATGGCACTGGGAGTGGACAAATCCCCCTAGAGGCTTTCGTTTTATGTGTATTTTCCACATCACCTCGCATCCTCGTCCATGTTGCCTTGCGGTAACGGAAGAACAAATGCACCCAACAGACGGTCAATTCCGCTGGCTCCCACGGAGGATCGGTCGAATTTGGAATTTGGACCTGACGATTGATATTGGGAGACGAGAGAGGCATGCTGCCAGCTACTGTAGCTCACTGATCAAGACAAGCCGCACATGCAAAACACGGTCATTGCAAACACAAGCACACCCACCTACAAGTCTTGAGCTATAGTCTTACCACCCCAAATTGAGAGCTTATTGATGATATTGATGCTTTTTGGAGGTGTTCATGTCATGCCTCAGGGTACACCCCGGCCAGTTGCCCAACAGTAATTATGTTTGATCAATCAGCGAAGCTGCAGAGTTGCGAAAGGGTAGTGATATAGATTATTTGCATGCCAAAAAGAACATCGCCAAACCCTGCCTTAACTTGGTTAAAGTTTAAATTGTAACAATTCTATGGAAGACGAAAAGCCAATCATATCCAATCCCTTCATCCCATTGGTTAAATCTCAACCTCCTTGGGCACAGCAGCTTGCCCACGGCAAGATCTCCGTTGGTGCAAGGCCGGTGAAGTTCTACCGGGCCGTGGCCAGTGAGCTGTGCCGCCCGGCACCAGCGACGGCCCCTTTTTTTTTCCCTGGGCAGGGGCCGGACAGACGGTGACCACGACTGGTTTTGTTAGCAACATGATGCAACATGTCATAGCATGTCATAGCAACCAGGTCTGAAGAGCGCACCAAATGGCGGAATTTGAGAGGGAAAGCACCTGTGCTGTTTGTGCTGTCTCAACACAGCAGCACAGCAGCTGAAGGACTGTGCACAGCCGGCAGGGCGTTCCAAAAGACCATGGATCTTCCGACCCGGCATCCCCAGCACGGCCGGTTCGCTGGATTCGCAGCACATTGATGGTACCCCATCTTCCTTGTCGTGGGTGAACCATGTGCTCATCTACACATCCGAAACGCTTTGGACCAAGTCTGGTATATCTCCCAGACTCCGACCGCTTCACGGCACCCACCGGACCGACCGCCCGACGCAGCGACCGACGCTTCCCGAGGTCTCGATGCTCCGGGCTTCTTCGAGGGCACCGAGGGACTCACGGCGCCTCGGTCACTGAGGTGAAGTGAACACATGTCGGTGGTGTGCGGTGGTGTCGGTGTGCGGGGGTCAGCAGAACGGTTTGTGCCCTTATTTGTAACAGGCTTGTAGCCATCTACTTCCATGAGTATCATGAATTCTTGGAGGCAGGGGAGATGAATACAGCTCATTTCGACCTTCCAAAGGATGAACCTCTCCTGCTTTGTCTCGGATTCCCTTCCGGGACCTTCCAGCCAAAAAGCAAGCACTATGCTTCGCACCGCTTCGTCACCAGGACCTTGAATTGTGTTCAGTAGATCCCAAAAATGAACGCCCGTTCTTGGAACCCTGAGTAGAAAGGACGCTTCAAAAGGCCAGTCAGAAGTGGTGGACCAATTATAAAGAGTTCACAGGACTCACAATTTCTTTTGTATCGTCTCAAAATAATTTTGACATATAGTATATATATTATACAGTATTATACACTGAGTTGTCCTTGCACTCTTGCCAAGGAGCTCGGCATTACTTTTTTGGGGAAGTTGTAACACAAGTTGTTGAGGTATTCTCAAATGGAGTCTTTGTGAACCAACAACCCACGACTTTTGCTGAGGCTCCCTTCCCACCCTGGTCGGGGACCCCCCCCGGGACCCTCAGGTGGTGCCAGAGCATGCAGGGGGAGCCCAGCGGGCGAAGCGGGCGATCAACACCGGTGAAAGACGGGTGGGGTGAGCAACATAAGGAAAATAGACGAATGATCAGTCAAAAACGGTGGTGGTCGGGGGTGATATGACGGAGGTAGTGGGGTGATCAGTGAAAACACATATCATAATTGTGCTGCACTTTCTTTGGTTATGTCTTTGAACCCATCGATCAAAGGATGACACATTTGACACAATGTGATCGACCTCCAGCAGGTTCCAAACGGCAATGATGGGGTTTGACGGAAAACCTGATTGTTTAGGGGCAAGGAAGGAATGGGAGGGAGGGAAGCAAGGGAAGAAGCAAAAGGAAAAGACCGAATCAAGCAAGCAAAGAAGGATGCGAGCAAGCAAGCAAGCAAAACGAGTCCTTGCATCACTTCTTGGTTGGTTTGTCTTGGAAACTTTGGGGGAGGAGGCGGAGGGAACCCAGAAGTGCCTGTATGTACGGAAGCAGTGCGTTTCAGACAACAGCAATTCAAAACCGGCTGCCCAAGCTGCTGTGATAAGATATCCGATGTCCAACAAATCTCTTGTATATACCAGAGAACTTGGAGCCCAAAAGGAATTTGGAAACAATTCCCAAGAAAGGAACCCAATCCGCCACCATGTACTAGGGGTACCGGGTTGTCTGCTGATTTAGTACTAGCATGTCCCTTCTCAGCATCAGCATCATTGAACAGAGGTCCCTGCAAAATCTATCCTGCTGCATGCAGCCGTCGGGGAAGCCAAGTTTGGAAAGGCCGTATCCATGTTGGAAAATGGTGGCTCAGTGGTGACCGAGTTGGATATCAGATGTATATAAATGTAGACCATCGTCGTAGTTCATCAGCTTGCCTCATTCTGGGAAGAAAGAACAACTTGTACCTCAGGGTCACAACGAACAAGGATTGTGAGTGGCAGTGCCGTTGGGAAGATAATGGTTTCTCCTACAGAAGTGTTCTACCATGTTTGATGTTCTCACACCCTGAAAGCACCAAGTCATGCAGTCTGGAGGTGTGTCGTCATTTTGTGGGAAGGGCTGTTTTGGTCGAGGGAATACAGGTCAACATGCTATTTGCATGTTCAAGGGTCTCGCAGTTTCACAAGGTGCGGTCTTGAACTGGGGAAATCCCTATTCAATCTATTTCCTTCTTGAGCGAAAGGACTAGAAGGCATGGCTAAAGGCCAATCCTAGGCCTATTCTTCTAGCAAAGCACGAAGGTTCACCTCGCCAAGCCGCCCCGGTTTTCATATGCAATCTAAAACCTTAAACAATCACACCTTATAATCACCATGCCAAGGAAGAACTAAACATCTATGATGCTCCACATGCAATCAAAAAGGTGAACCAAAAGAACTGGAAATCACCATGAAATCACCATGCCAAGGCTCTCCGCTCGTTCAGATCCATCAAACCTGCCGAATCACACGAATCCTTGGACCGAAACGAAGCGAACCAGGTCGACCGGTAGACACAAACAACAACTGTCCGTTACCGGTCGACGCTCCAAAAACCTAGGGGATTGGTTCGACCCCAGACCCCTCCATATGAGGGTCCGACCCCTTCCATATAAGGGCCCAATAGCGTTTTGGGTACAATCTCTTGTCATGTTCTTTTTGTTCTCCTCCCATATGCATCCGCCAGGTGAAGGCTGAGGCTGAGAAGCTGCAGCCCAAAGAGGCGGCGGAGGCACAGAAGAATGGTAGCCAACCTGAGGTTCGGCTGAATCCCAGTCTTCGGTGACATGGCTGAATTTTCTGTTGAAGACAGCATATGTATCCACCGGCTTCAGGTTGATGGATCTCCAGATTTTTGCAGTACCCGATGATCCTAGCAAGGTTTCTTCAACATAGGAGGGGCACGATGATCCAAAGAAACAGCTGAAGTGATTGCCTCGTCTTGAATGAGCATGCCTCAGCACCCTAACTTTGGCCCTGGAAACGTGGACGGGTTTCACAACTACAGATATCAACAGGTGGAGAAAGACGACAAAGGGTTAACCTTTACCATCCAGGGAACCTGAGGGAGTCAGTATTCGTCATTTCCCCTGTGGCCACTGAGAAAGCCTAGTTTGTTGGTCCGCACAGGTTCGGACCATCGATGGTGCAGGATGGCTTGTATCGGATCGACCCAGACTTGTGCGGTACCTTCTACCTTCTACTTGTACTGTAAGTCGGAAAAACACATGTGGGTTTTGAGGCTCCAAGTCGTACCTTCTGAGAAGGTACGACTGGATCCCTAGGGAGAGTGCGTGCAGGACCTTCTCGGGGTCATCACCCACTCGACGGGACTCACCGGGACGCGCCATGTCTCAGGGCACGGTGAAAGTGGCCACGTCCATGATCCGCGAGATGGTGGAGCAAGCCGCTGGTGTCAAGGTGAGAGCGGGAACTGAGGCATGCCAGGGCTCAAGATCAAGGGTTTGTGTTCATCGTTGTTTGTTGTTCTGGTAAATGCAAAGAGAACACTTAGTTGGTGGACACATGGTTTTTGTATTGCAATTGTTGTTATAGTTGTAGTTGGTTAAGATCGTTTGTTGTTATAGTTGGTTAAGACCATTCATCGTGTCACTAGAATGGTTAGCATCTTTTTAAGAAGCAGGCTTCAAAAAGATGATATGGTTGGGATAAATTGATCTATATTATATATATATATATATGTAATGTTCCAGCTACAAAGAGATTTAGAGTACACATCGTGACTACTTTCATACAAAGCTTTGCACTTTCATGACTTCGATGGGGAGGGCCCTCTTTAGTCAGCTTCAACCCATCTGTGTTAGTGAGTGTTGTGCATTCTTGGAACTCCCGGCTGAAGATTGATGTGATGAGGTTGTTGCTTTTTCCCCTGGGAGCACGGTTGTCATGGAGACCCCCCTCAGTGGTTCTACCAGTTGCCTTCAGAATTGATCGTTGCAAACATCTTTGCAGAACCAACATTTGCCACCGTTTAATGTTACTCAACAGCAGACTATCTATCCTTGGATGGCGAACTTGCGAACTTGGGGCTCTCGCTGCGTGGCCAAGCCTCTTGCTGTGCGGGCGCTCTCGCTGTGAATTCGACCCAGTGGCGCTCGGGTTCTTCCAGGACTCCAAGGGCAAGATTGAGGTGCTTGATAAGGTGGTCCTCGACTCAGCGACCCATCACACCGGATTCGACTTCGGGATCCGGATCCCGATCCGATGAACAAGCGGAGGAAAGAGGAACACCCCAATCATCCGGACGCGCATATTGACCATGATTTACTTTTACCTATATTGGGGTAGTTGAGAAGGGGTCCATGTATGGTAAATATTCCTGTCCCGTGGATGGTGTGGGACAAACAAACTCACGTGTCCTGTCACTGACATGAAACCTGTCAGCTGTGACCTGTTCAACCGGTTTTGGGGCGAAATCGTCAATTTCTTCAGTTTCGACTAGCGGTGTCGCATGGTGTCGCTCCAGAACTCTTGTGCACCGCAAGTGAAACCCCTGTTTACAAGCGAATCTTTGTGTGCGACACCAAGATCTTGCAACGACACCAAGTACACGATACCAACATGTCATTGCGATGTACGGCAATATCCATTCGCATCGAATCCAACCTTCCTTGGGGCTATATATAATTTCCATTAATTTGCCATGACATCCCATGACCATAAGTTCCACAAGGATCCACAAAGCTCCTTCCTGGTGCATGTGTACTTCAGCGCACACTGATACTGCCCACATGGCGTGGCGCTTGCGCGGGCGAAAGAACAGTGCCGCATGCTTGCGCACCTGGCGTGGCCAAGGTCCTTTTGGCCAACAACAGTCAAAGCCTCACCAATACCATCACCCCTGATGTGGAAGCAGGTGTGGGCAACCTTGGGAGAGTCGAGCCGGATCGGAACCATGTTCGTGTTTTTCATGCCGGTCATCTCGAAGAAACTGTCCGAAGACTACAGTAAACGAGAAGTTTGTTTGCTTCCATATATAGTTTTGAGAGAAAAAAAACATAATGTCTCCAAGAAGCTGGCATTTTGATATGGCAGTGGACGAGTGACGACGATGTGTTTTCTTTATCTAAGTGTTTGCAAAAAACGATGTTTTCGTTACATGTCTGCAATAGCCTTGGCAGTTTCTTACCGTTTCGGGTAGTTCCGAGTTGTGATTAGCCATGCTCGATGATGTGCATATTCATTGTCTACTGCTTCTGCTGAATGGTTTGACTGGCCACCCCATGGTTCTGCCTCAAGTGACGCGAGTATTCGCAACCATGAGCTCCAACGGTAGGAGAATGGACAGGCCTTCCGTTTGGAAACCGATTCAACAAGGTGATGATTCATGTCACATGCATTTTTCAGGGGGATGACGTAGTGTTCATGGTGAGAGTATCGACTACAATCTGACTTCTTCCACCACTCTGACGCTGGGGTTGTCGCCTTGCAGACATGAGGCCTACCAGTGTACGAGGGCTCTTTGAGATACAAGACCCTCGAGGGCCTTTTTGACGTGTTCGCCCTGCCGTCGCTGTTGAGCCATGTTGAGACGACATGATGTGGAACTTTAAAACTGTGGAAAGGCACAACTAAGTAAAAGACCCTCAAGCCAGGGGGATCTTTTCAGCCTGGCTTTCGCTTAAAACAAATAAAATTAGAACTGGGACTTCAAAGAGTGGGAAGGCTGAGGGTCGATTTGGGGTGAAACGAAGGGGGCAGTGAATTTGTGTGGCAGTTTTTGGTGGACCTTGAGCAGCATAATATTGAGGCACTCATGTGTGCCAATGGGAGTGACTTTGTAAGTCCAAAGCTCCTGGTGTCCGGCGTCTGAAGTCACCTGATATATGCAGTTGAGCTGAAGGCATCTTGCTTCTTGCATCCGAGAAGAACCACTTCCTCGTGGCTGGAGGTACTTGGACAAGTCCGTGGAGGATCTCCAACAGACCACACAGGCCATGTTCGGCTCCTTGATGGGTGGCGAGGACCGGAGAAGGAGGGAGAAGGTGGGTGAAGCGGGGATATTGAAGCTGCGTTGTTTTTTGTTTTTCGGGTGCAGGGAATTGCCTTTGGAGAAGGTACGTGTCTTGAAGACCATGAAAGCTGCCCATCATGTCTGTCTGGCTGTTTGTCAGGACGGGAATAAGACCGCCTGGCGCTGAGTATGCTGAGTTCCGCCCTTCACCAACGCCTCCCGAGCCCATAGAAGGGTCGAGACACCTGTGGCTGAGGTAGCAGAGATGACGGCCCGGGCAGAGGATGCTCAAAAGGCTCAAGGCGTTTCGGACCGAAAAGAAACAAGACCTACCGACTACATTCTTTAATAGGACACATGCCATGTTTCAGTGCCTTGGAGAATTTCCTATTGGAACTCGCACCATCGGATCTATCACCGCAATCGGCCACTCGCAGATTAATTCGGCACGACAGACCATGACGGACCAGCGTTTGATCGCACTTCATGAGGCCACTGAAACAAGGAAACCATGGTTTTTCTCATAAGCTGCTTCGCAAATTTCTTCCTTCAAAAGTCCTGTTGATGGACAAGATTTGGAGAATTAGCCTGAAACAACGGGAAGCCACTCGCACCTTGATCGCGGAGAAGTATTCTATCGATTTCTATCGTGTAGGATTCAACCCCAAATTCTTCGCAGCAGTAGACGGTAGTTTTATCTCGTTTGGATGGGACCAGTGTTGCCCTGCTCTGGTGGCTCTAGTGGCTTTGCCATGCTTGTGAGCCACTCCTGCAGGTGTCTTGGCCTCCGTTTTCAAGATCTCTGAGGGCAAGGCGCGCACTCCGTCATCGTGGTGTCATCGTGTCATCGCGAAGAAGTAGATATGGAGGAAGGTGGGAAGTTGAGGACTGGCGTCGGTAGCTTCAGGTGGTGGCTTCATTTTGCCGTAGGAGCTCGAGCTTCAGGAAAGCCAAATCCTCCTGGCCAATCCACCCGCCGCACTGGTGTTTTTGGTCTCGACCCAAACGCTCTACTGGTACTGGTCATCTTTTGGAGCTGGGCACATTTTGCGGCTATACATCCGGCCCCGCCTCAATCGAGGCTGAAAAGCTCTTGGAGAAGAAGATGAAGGTCGCCACAGATCAAGTTCAGAAGGACCTGGGCGAGAACAAGTTCAGACAAAAAGCAAAAGACACATAAAAACTCAGAAATGGCACCCAGCACGGTTTTTTTTTGAAGGCTGTTGTGGTGGTTCCAGCAGGTTCCTGGTGCCCAATTGATCTTATATATTTGTTTTATCCAATTCTCTGCAGTAAGTATTTAGGACCCCATAGCCATCCATAGCCCATAGTATAGGACCCTTATGATATATGATTCGCCTGATAACTCCATTGCACCGGATGCGCATTCGAACATGTAGATCTTTGCGTGTGTGTGTGTGTGTGTGGAACCCTTGGAGTCACGGCAAACTTTGTGGTGACTTGCAGGGGGCATGCGGCCATCACGCAAACGCATGCCAACGAAGCTATGAGTGCTGGTGGAAGCCAGGTTTGATCAACCTGGTGTACCTGCAAGTAGTGTGTGTGTGTGTCACCCCCTGTATCTAAGGGTTCCACCTCTAACCTCTGG